TCTAAGATTTTTTTTTTTTTATGTTTTGAAGTCTCTTAAGCTCTTATTTGATCAAAAATAAAGTAAAACTAATATTGTGATGTAAATTATTATAATTTAAAATAACTTTTTATTTCTATATATTTTGAAATCTAATTCATTTCTGTGATGCAAAGTTGATTCTTCAGCATCATTACTCCAGTCTTCAGTGTCACATGACCATTCAGAAATCATTTTAATATGCTGATTTGCTGCTCAATAAACATTTCTTATTATTACAAGTGTTGAAAACAGTTGTGCAATTTTTTGTGTAAACTGTGATCAGTTTTAATGATTCTTCGATGAATGGGAATTTCAAAAGAACTGCTTGATCTGTAAGAGAAATCTTTGTAAAAATGTAAAAGTATTTACTTCCATTTTTGATTGATTTAATACATCCATGATGATATTTTTTAAAGGAAATATATATATATATATATATATATTATATATAAAACAAAATAGAGGGAAATCTTTATTCATCTGGCATGAAAATAATCAGATCTCAGTTGCTGAACAGATCCATTTTCACTTTCAAAACTTACTGAGTAAAACTATAGTTTATATTACTCGGTAAAACACAAATAGCAGCACTTTTAAATTATCATTGCTATATTTTAATATTTTAGAAAAAGACAAAAGATGCATCAAACTTGGTTTAATTGGTTATTATGTAGTCTTGGCTAAATCTTTCTAAAAATCTATTTCTAAAAATTGTTTCTGTAAATCTATTACAAAGCAATCAAACAAAACACTGTTACTGCTTAAAAAGTAATATATTATTAAAAAATACATTGTTTTTAAAACAGTTCAACTACTAAATTCTGTAAACTTAGCAGAATTGTTACTTTTAGTTAGTTTTAAACAAATATTTGAATAGATGTCGTCAGTTTCAGTAATTTCCCTATAAAAAAATTAATTTAAAAAAGTTTAAATAAAAAAAAAGAATGCACTTAGCATTTAATGACTAGTCAACTGAAGGGCTTGAACAACATGACTTTATTATAAAACCAAACCAAACAATTAGGAGTAGGCTATTTACTCTTGTCACATGTTCCACATGATTATTTGCTGTTGCTCAAGCCGGTTAAGACAGCTGACGTGCTATGATTTCTGACAGGCAGTTCACTCTCCTGTGATGTGACCCTGTTCTCCTCACACACACACGCACACACACGACGCGCGTTAATCTGCGCTGCGCAAAACTCCGCTTTTGAACAGTCAATAGCAAATACTTAAACTAGTAACAAAACATACTTGCAGTCGCTGATTCAGAAGTGCCAGATTGTCATAGCAAAGTCAGAATTGACCCTTTTTTTTTTTTTTAGACATAGCCTTTGTGCACAGCCAGCCTTGTACTCTTCTAGGTTCAAAAAACTGTCGTCCATAAAATGCGTTGCACAAATTCGAACATCTGGGTTGTGCTGTTCTGTTGTAAATAAATCTTATCCAATGATTCCTCATTGCATCTACTACCGGAAGGCCAAATAAAGTGCTTTTGCTTTCGCACTGAAACACAGCGTCTCCCTGACATGGCTGCATCAACACGACTGCTGTTCCTGAAACCACGCCTTCTTTCTTTGCGTGCACATTTGGGCGGCATTATGCCAATATTTCCACATAGTGACGTAGATATGTGGGGGCGTGTTAGAACGAGCCGTTTTAGGTAGGCGTGGCTGACTCTTAACTTTTATAAAGAATATCTCTTTGGATTTGAGACTTTAGTCTTTGCAACTTTACAGATCTACTTTATACAGCAAGAGCTTGTAACACTCCAAAGAGAAAGGAAAACTTGAAATCGCATCATCATTGATCTCACCTTCACAACCACGTGCTTCTGTTCTTCCTTCCGTCCTTCTCTCAAACACTTCATCATAATCAGACATTAGTGTGCATTCTTGAATGTTCCTGAATGCCGTTCAGCGATGGGACATTGTGTGTTAACAGGCGTTCTTTGAAACTAGAAGGCATTTATGAGGTATCACTTGACATTAATGAAAGACTTATAAATAACAATCTCCAAAACAGGGTATTTATTGGGCTGTGATTCTTGTAAAAATGGACTCCCATTGTGTGGCAGAGGGCAGGCCTGTCGAGGTGGATGGCACCGGCTTGAACGGTGAGCTCATGGTCGTGTGTTTGTGTGCGATCCAGCTGCTGTCCACAGCTGTCACGCAGGGCCTGACGTGGCTTTACATTCCTGCTGTGAGCTATAAGACCGGTTCAGATCTCAGTCTGGCAGGTCTGCTGTTATTTGTGAAAGTTTGCGACTTGCAAATACTCTGGGTTAACTTCTTTATATATTTTATTTTGTCATAATGGACGAGAACATCCTGTGGGCGACGGCTGTGGTTGATAGAAGAGAGGCCCTTGATAAACGGGAGGAGGTACAGGATTTTTAGAAGTCTTATTTTGATCATTTACTGTGTATTTTATGTGAATTAAGTCTGGGAAGGACCTGTCTGAGAAAGCTTATTTGTCTTTTATTGAAATTGTTTAGAAGCGTCGAGCTCGGGCACGAAAGTTGGGGATTTTGGTTGTGGATGCATCTTCTGTGGCAGTAGAAGGAGGGAATGAATCTGTCCATCAAAGTGTTGCAAACATTCAGGTCAGTGAACAATAGAGGATTGTTCACTTTCTTTGAGAAGAACCTTTCCTTTCCAAACCTTTCAGAAAAACCTTTTGTGGAATGTAACCATATATGTGACCCTGGACCACAAAACCAGTCATAGGGGTCAATTTTTCGAAATTGACATTTATACATAAGCTGAATAAATACGCTTTCCATTGATGTATGGTTTGTTAGGGTAGGACAATATTTGGCCGAGATACAACTATTTGAAAATCTGGAATCTGAGGGTGCAAAAAAATCTAAATATTGAGAAAATCACCTTTAAAATTGTCCAAATTAAGTTCTTAGCAATGCATATTACTAATCAAAAATGAAGTTTTAATATATTTACAGTAGGAAATTGACTAAATATCTTCATGGAACATGATCTTTACATAATATCCTAATGATTTTTGGCATAAAAGAAAAATCAATAATTTTGACCCATACAATGTATTTTTGGCTATTGCTACAAATATACCCCAGCGACTTAAGACTGGTTTTGTGGTCCAGGGTAACATATGCTAATAAATAACCTTTATTTTTAGTATTCCTATAATCATCTTATAGTAACAAAGAGTCATGTCATAACTAAATTATATGTTACTTATAAATGGGCTTTATTTGTTAAAAATATGTTGTTACTTGCATTAAAAATAGGGCAATGTACATGCTGTAAAAATGAAGAGTATGAGCTTGTTAATCTTCCGCCAGCGTGCATACACAGAATGCTGTATTGGTAATATTACTGACTAATATCAGAATTGGCATCTTATATCAGTTTTCACAATCCTTTCAATTAAAAAAAGGATGAACCAATTTTATTGTAAGAAGTCTTCATCGTGTACTATACGCACAAAGATTGAATCAGTCAGTGATGAAGAGAAGGGAGTTCTTCATGCAGGCAGAGGATCAAGTGAGATAGATCTCCTCTGATCTGAGGCGTGAGATCTTTGATCTGGGGGGTGCAGAGAACATTATTGAGCTGCGTATGAAGAAGAAGATCAGGAACAAGACCGCAACTCCCAAAGACCCAATGGATGTTCCTGTGGTGAGAAAAAAACCATCTGCCTTTCTTTATTATCATTATGTGACTTTGAATATTGCATATATTATAAGTCTTATAGTATATTATAAGTCTTTTGGTTATTTTATTTATGTATTTATTTATTTGTTTGTTTTTTTGATTAAGCATCAAAATTAATCTCTGGTGTTTATCAGGGACTTGTGGAACAGGATGTTTTACAGTTTTTAAAAGCGACTTGTGGAACAGGATGAGTTTTTAAAAGCAGCAGCTCAGGGAAAGATGGAAGTAGTTGAGAAATTTCTGGAAGATGGAGGAGATCCAAACATCTGTGATGAGGTGCAATATGTCCAGTGACATGTTCTATCCAATGATAATTTATTATCAATGTATTATAGTTTTTTTTATTAAATATATTTTGAAATTTTTATTTTTTATTTTCATTTTAAATTTAGTTAAGACTTTGGTAATTTTGTTGTGTTTTTGTCTTTTTTTTAGTTATTGTTTTTTTTTAAATTTCTATAGTTTTTATTTATTTTCAATTTGAGTTATTTTAGTACATTAAATAAAAAAATATTTGAGTTAATATTAATTTCAAGTAACACATTTTTTATGGTTTTAGTTTTAGTTAACTGCAATAACTCTATTTCTCTTCCTCTGTGACACAGTTGCTCATACAACTGTTTTGTCTTAGTTCAAGAAAACAGCGCTGCATCTGGCTGCTTTGGAAAACCATGCTAAAATAGTGGAAAAATTACTGGACAAAGGTGCTGATATCAACTTTAAAGACAGGGTGAGATCAATATATAAGTGTTGGTAAAGTGAATTCATTGTTGAAATTATGTTGTGATTGTACTGATTTGCTTTTGTTGCCCTCGGTTTAGCTGGACTGTAGGGCTGTACATTGGGCTTGCAGAGGTGGAAGTCTCTCAGCACTGAAAGTTCTTCAGGACAGGGGAGCTGGCATCAATGCCAGAGACAAAGTACTGCAAAATACTGAAAAGTATATAAAAATAAGCTGTATGTCAGACTCTGTTCCATGTTTTATCTGTGTCTTGCTCCCCAGGTGTTCCTTTCCCATGTTTAATTTGTCCCAGGTGTTCCCCAAGATGGTTCATTGATCCCAGGTCTGTCTCGTCATCCCCTCCTCCTGTGTGTATTTAAAGTGTTCCCAGTCCCTAGTTCTCTGTCCGCTGTTGAACGTCTTCCTGTGTTCGTCTCCCTTGGTGCAAATAAAGTCTTGGCAAAGTATTCTCCAGCGTCTCCTCGTTCCTCGTGTGTGTGCAACGTGACACTGTATGTGTAGTATTAGAAAATCTTATAATTCTCTCCCATACAGCTGCTTAGCTCACCTTTGCATGTGGCCACACGGACAGGTCACAGTCATGTGGTCCAACATCTTCTAACCAGTAGAATCAATATTAATGCAAAAGATTGGGTAACAGATTAATAATTCATGAGGAAAACACAGTTGTACTCAACATGCAGATTATAATTCAATCAAAATATTTAAGAAGGTTTCCTTTTTTTAAAGGAAGGAGACACGGCACTGCATGATGCTGTCAGATTAAATCGGTATTAAAATTGTTAAACTCCTTATACTGGCAGGAGCCGATATGCAGATCAAGAATGCTGTAAATACTACAGATTAGGATGAGAAAAAAATATGAATCTATTATAAAAAATTTGGAAACAGCTGGATATAAATAATTCATTTTCTTGTTTTTAGGAGGGCATTACGGCCACAGAACAGGTGAAGCAATGGCAGTTTGACACAAAGGAGACATTGGAGAAACTAGAACAGATGAGAGAGGTTGGTCTGGCCTGACAGACACATGGAGATGCATTGGATTCATTAGAGCATCTGTGAACAGGTGCACGGCTGGAGAACAACCCCACCTCTGTCTGAGTAACTATTTACTTTCTGTGTTAATTAGTGCTGAAAGGTGCCTGTCCTCACCAATTCATTAGTATACTGGATGAATGAGCTTTTATTAATCTTTATAAAAATGAGGCTTATAATTTGTATTTTTTCTATATAAATAGCAGCATAGTAATAAATTGATCAGATCAGTATTGTAACGAAGGAGGCGTGACAACGGAGTGGGGATACATTTGCAGGCTTTATTAAAAGAGTGTGGTCGAAACAGGCAGGGTCCAGAAACAGTAAACAGTAACAGCAGAGACAAGGCAAAAGAGAATCCGTGTATCATTCGATCATTCATTTTTTTATTTAATATTAAAAGTAGAAAAATGAGAAAATGGCTCCTTTTTCGTTTTATTGTTTTTTACCAAAAAACGAAAATTCAGCTTAAATTTTTTGTTTTTCGTTCATGGGTGGAAAAATGAATAAACAGCTTGAATATTCGATTTCTACACGTGGGCGGGAATTAAACTCCCCTTTCTGCTGATTGGTCAGCCGAAGATCAAACCGTGCCATCATCAGTTCTTCTGCAGTATCACGCAGCAGAATAATAGTCCTCCACTGCTGCAGTTGTATGGATTCTTAACGCATTTATTGCAACTACATTTAATCTTTTTTCGTCAAACAAACTGGCTTATGAATAGCTCAACACAACTCATACTGGGGCAGAGTCTAGACAGGGCTTTCTTCTGTGTAGATATAAATTATATTCTTTGCATCAGCTGGGAATGGCAGGGTATGTATGATATGACAGATGTCATAGCCTACCCTGCTCACCCACAGAAATCGAATATTCAAGCTGTTTATTAATTTTTCCACCCATGAACGAAAAACGAAAATTTAAGCTGAATTTTAATTTTTTGGAAAAAAACAAAAAAATGGAAAAGGAGCCGTTTTCTAATTTTTCTACTTTCAATATTAAATAAAAAAACGAATGATCGAATGATACACGGATTAAAGAGAATCAGTGTATCATTCGTTCATTCGTTTTTTAAATTTAATATTGAAAGTAGAAAAATTTTAAAACTGCTTTTTTTCGTTTTTTTTTTTTAAAAACAAGAATTCAGCTTAAATTTTCGTTTTTCTTTCAGGGATAGAAAAATGAATAAACAGCTTGAATATTCGATTTCTACACGTGGGCGGGAATTAACCGCCCCTTTCTAGTGATTGGTCAGCCGAAGATCAAACCGTGCCGTCATCAGTTCTTCCGCAGTTCCGTGCAGCAGAATAATAGTCCTCAGCTGCTGCAGGTGTACGGATTCTTAACGCATTTATTGCAACTACATTTCATCTTTTTTCATCAAACAAACAGACCAATAAATAGCTCGACACAACTCATACTGGGTCAGAGTCTATACAGGGCTTTCTTCTGTGTAGATATAAATTCTATTCTTTGCATCAGCTGGGCATGGCAGGGTATGATATGACAGCTGTCATAGCATACTCTGCTCACCCAGTAAGTCTGTTTGTTTAATTAAGAAATTAATTAATGAATTATTTTCAAAATAAATATTTTTAACCCTAAGACAAAAAGGAATGAAATAATAAATTGGCTTGGGTATATATATAGGCCTACAATGTTCACGCAAGAACTGTCATTCTGACTGACAACCGGAGAACAACAGATATTAAATAGCCTACTGTTAGAGTTTTATAATGTAGTCTTGTGTTTTATTAAAATTGATTATAATTGATATCTCAAAAGGATATGCCCTTGTGCGCAGCGTGAGCTGCTGCGCACTGCAACGCAAGATTTTCATAATAACTTGCCATTTCGGTTTGTTTCTTACCAAACCCTCAGTATAAGCTACCTTCAGAATGCTTGGAATATAGGCCTACGCCACGAGATGCATAGGATTATTTTACAACAGATATGCATCTGCTTCAAAAAAACAAACAAACAAACAAACAAAAAAACCTAAAGTCACCATTCTCTGCCATTAAATTGGCAAGTGCGAGCAGGACATTTTTTGTTTTAAGTAATAAGCCTTTAGAACAGGGCTGCCCAAACTCAGTCCTGGAGGGCCGGTGTCCTGCAGAGTTTAGCTCCAACTTGCCTCAACACACCTGCCTTTAAGTTTCTAGCATGCCTAGTAAGAGCTTGATTATCTGGTTCGGCTGTTTAACTGGGGTTGGAGCTAAACTCTTCAGGACCCCGGCCCTCCAGGACCGAGTTTGGACACCCCTGCTTTAGAACAACATTAAAGGTGACATCATGAAAATCTGACTTTTCCAGGTTTTAAGTGCTATAATCAGGTCCCCGGTGCATCTACCAACCAAGGAAACGTGAAAAAGATTAACC